TGAGAAGAGGCCTTTGCTCAGCAGTGGGCACTTATAGGCTGATGACGATATTATGAACTACCAATCTAGTATTTTTTGGCGAAAGTATTGACATTGAAAATCATGGAACCTACGGCCATAAGTTAGCCGAATTTCGTTGCTTCGTTGCTCATAAAATAAAGTAATATTTATCTTTCGACCATCCTTTTAGCAACATGCTGTAAAGTCCTTGAGTCTACCATAAAAAGATGTCGTCAAGATGAAATCGAAAGTTTTTTGTTTAAATAATTAATTCTGTTACGACAGGCATTCGTTCTGGGTGTAAGCTGACACGTATGTACTTGGATTAAATTCTATTATTATGCGGGGCCGTGGTTACCACCCATTCGAGTCGAAGCATGACCCTCCCACACTTATTTGTTAAAAAAAAATGTATTAATCATTAATTGCATTGTAAAGTCTAAAAAAATATATGACTAGCTTTTGCCTGCGACTCCATTCGCTTGGAATAGTGACATCCTGCAGATTTTTGGTATAAAAATTATTCTATGTCCTTTCTGGAGTTCTAAGTTATGTCTATACCAAATTTTACAGAAATTGGTTCAGTAGTTTAGGCGTGAAGAAAATACAGACAGACAGACAGGGTTACTTTCGCATTTATAATATTACTTTGGATAAAGCAAATTTAATTATAAAAAAAACCGTACACACATACAGCATTTCATCTGTTTTATCGCCTAGGTAATAAATAAAACTATTATTCGGTCTAAGATACCTAGGCGAGCGCCCACGCAGTTACGTCATAAGCTCGCATAAGGAGATGGTCAATTTACAACTAAATGTTAAACCTTACCTTATAATGAATTATTCAAACAATAAAACATTAACATAGGTACTCGTAATCACAAGATTTTTACGACATCGTTTTCAATATCATTTTCATTTTATATATTATGTGATATATATAGCCTTTCGAGTAAGATACGGGAAGAATTGTAATTTCACTGACATTGTATCACGCTGGTTTTTTGTGTAAATCAAAATAAAAAACCGCATAAAAGCAGTTTTAAAACATCAAATAGAATAGGTAATAGTCCGTCAGTCTATTCGCCAGTGAAGCGAATCGTAAGTCGATCGTTCCAAAATGGAGATTCGAATTAAAAAGCAACATTCACAGCAAGAAACTTCATCTTTACGCCTTGGTACACATACTGTAGACTATTCACGCCAAAGCATGACCCTCTAAACTTTTTTTATGAGAGGAAAATCATTAGATCACTTCTCCCGATAATTTATAGAATCAGGCGTTACTTTCCATGACATTGAATGTTAGGAAAAATATTTAGTTTTTTGTTGATGTATCAACAAGCCTGAATTTTGTCGCGGTCTAACATATAATGACTTCTCCCGCCCAGAGTCGGGCAGGAGGGACTGTCAGACTCTTACTGGCTCTGTGACGTAGCACAAAGAAGACGACGGATGGCGTCATAAATCCTTCAACTTTCAACTTTCGGGCAGTAGTAGCTAGCTAGTAGCCCGCCTGGCATGATCATAATATCGACTGGTCGGAGTATGCTCCTTTTCCGAACTTTTCAAGGTCGTGGCATACACTCGGGATTACGAATCGAACTTGCTATTAATGTCCATAAATTGTCAAATGTAATACAAGTGTACTGATTTATACATAATATAGAAGCTTTACGTAACCTTGTCAGTTAAAATTGACACAATCCTATCTATATGCTAAAAACATTCACAAATAGGTATGTAGAAATCCTACTTAACTCGAAAAGTTAAGAAGTAAATATGGATGTATGTCGCTCTTTTATGCAAAAACTACTACACGGATCTGAATGTAATTTGACACAGAGATAGATCTGGAAATAATTAAGGCAAAGCGGCTGGCAGAAGGTAGTATTTAGTAATATAGTATTACTTATATTTTTAATTAAAATAATAATACATAATTATTTTAATCAAATAGCAACCAAAACCACTAATGTTTCAACTGGTTGCAGTCATGAGAGTAAGGAAGCATGTAAGAATCATTATCATAATATCATCAGCAAAGACATGTACACACTATTTTCCCCTTCATTAAATAGGTATGATGATAATCTTTTTCTAGAAGTCAATGTTTATATGCAACCAATCTTTAATGCATTTTTTGAAGTGTGGGAGAGCCATGCTTCGGCACGAATTGGTCGGCTCGGACGAAATGATAACTCGGCCTCACAGAAAACCGGCGTGAAATAACCACAGCGTTGTGTTTCGCCGTGTGAGTGAGGTTACCGGAGGCCCAATCCTTCCCCTCCCCCAATCCTTCCTCAATCCCTAATCCCTAAAAGGTCGGCAACGCACTCGTAAGTACTCCGTTGCGAGTGTCCATGGGCGGCGCTGATTGCTTACTATCAGGTAATCCGTGTGCTCGTTTGCCGATCGTTAACATAAAAAAAAACCAGTTCACTTGCCACCAAACGCTAACCTTTTTAACATATGAGAAGTGTCTTACTTACCAAAACAAAATTATTAAATGAAATCAAGGTTGTTGAAAATAAATAAAAAAAACATTTTTTTCTACTCTTTAATGAAATAAATATTTCAACGACTTATACTAGTTACATTACATAATATTCAGTAAGTTTCGAAAACATTACTTTATTTCAAAAATAAAAATTTTATAACAATAAAATTATATTGGATATGCTTTTTCATTAAATGTTCAATGATTATTACATTTTGTATATAATATTCATAAATAATTATACAATTCATGTTATTTTTTACGATAAATTTATTCATGAATAAATAATGATTATTTTGCGTTTATTAAAGAAATGTCGGCTCATAGATTACTCTGTTTGGATACAATATGCCCTAAGTACTAGATATTTAATTATATAGTATATGGGCGGTTTATATCAACCTTTTTGGGTAAATAATGATATTATTTCAAATAATCTCTAGTTCGTTGGTAAATGGTTCACATTTTTTTGAATTAATTAACATAAATATTGATAGTGATTTAAATTTAATTCCAATCTGATTAAATTGAATTTGCGATAAAATTTGTAAAGTACATCAATTAAATTTATAATAATTATTAAATATAATTTTAATTATATTTATTTCTTTAAAATACTTGGAAGCACATTTATCTTAGACAACGCACGATGCATAATTTTGATAGATATTAGACACTTTAACCTTTATTCTTGTAATTATAATGATTAATTTTGTGTGTATTTCATGTTAGACAAGGAATGACAATTATTTATTTGTTATATTTTTCTCTAGATTCGAAGAATTTCTTCAGTGTCCAATATCTTCATCAAAATACAATAAATATATTGAAAATCTACAAATAATCGTGTACGATCTCACTCATTTATACAAAATCGGGCTACGAGTATCTTATTTTTATTATATTATAATATGATAAATTTCCCTAATAATATAACATTAAAATTTTCCATCAAACGCTACGTAGGTAAACAGTTTTAGTAAAATTATAGGATTAAATATTTTTCTTAGTATATTGTCTTATTTCGTAAAATGTATAGATTTATAGAAGATTTTTTTTAAAACACGGCTTAAATTTTGCTACTACCTTTAGTTAGTATATTAATATTTTTAAAATTGACAGAATAAATAGACATTTATCGATTTGAACACGCTAAGGAGTATATTTGAATAAATTAATTATCATATTTTGTGTACAAGAAAGAAACTTGAATAATATTTATTCAAAAATTAATATATCATTTTTATGAGTAAAACGCCATTTTTGGAGTAAGAAAAAATGCAGGAATTAGGTTGCTTTGTCTGAATCATAAATTCACCTGTAAAATTAAAGCATGTATAGGCAAAACATTTTTATCTTGTACACAAAAATATTCAAAAGACATATTCAAGATATATTATTATAAAATCTACAGTATAATATTAGATTCTTTGGCTAGAATAGAAATATTTTTTAGTTTCTTTGGTCTCAATTGGAACACAGAAGTTTAAACATTCAATGCCTTAGGTAACGATGACTCAAAAATGTAAAAAACTTTTTAAGTATGAATAAATAGCTAAATAATATTATTCAAAAATAATTAAAGCTGAATAACCAAGTCAATACACACGCGGTATAATTAATTATTCTAATGATATGAATATCAAAAAACAACCGTTTAAACATTTATACAACATAGTTAATCTTAAAATTATAAATAAGCCTGTAAATATACATAAGATTAAATGCAATTTAAGACCTTTAATCTTAAATTTTGGAAAACACCATTCAGATTTTAAAATGACGCGTCCCGTAGCGTTTTTATCGTGAACACTTAAATTCTACACTAACACCAAACTAGCAATCAAATCCTTGAAGGATAACAAATATAATTATAATAAAAGATGTATGCTCTACTTACGTATAACTTCAATAATAAACATTTAAAAAATAATCTTAAATATTACGATCAAAACAACGGTGATTTCGATACGTTGAAAGTCTGATTTCGTTGTATTTCAAAAATAAATTTACTTTGACTTGTAATTTTTCATAAACTGTGTTTATTGGCAACAAATTATTAGATTTTTATCAGCAATAACAAATAAACTTTTAATTTATTAATATTCAATATAGTAACTGTAAAATCTAGACATCAGCTACTTGGAAGACCAATAGATAGTTAACGTTTAATCATATCAATACTAAAAGCTTACTTTGCTACTTATAATTATAAATAATTATCGTACAACTAAACGTACATGAACGTGTCGACGCACGGCAAACGGAAAGTCATCAAATTATTCTAATAATCTAAACATAAAGCGTTTAAATATTTATTTAAATACGGCTATAGTGTTAACGTAATAATTATTTTTGAATTAATAAATCAATAAATTATTTTGCTAAACAATTATAATTTTTATATTAAATGTATAGATAATTATTTTGAATTATATATGGCACAAATATATTTGGCACATTACATGTATGATAATTATAGATTATAAAATTTGTGCGTGATGTTTGTTAGAATTGTTTCGTTCTCTTTCCCACGATAGAAATCCCGAGGCTAGTATTGACATTTGAAATTTCAATTTTGATATTTTTATTTTTTGTGTGTTCTTTAGTGGAGGTTAATTTCAATCAGACAGAATATTGCTACTTTCCGAATCCCTTTAGTCTGAGATCCTGATCTTAAGTGGGAGATGGTGGTGCTGGAGTTAAGCCTTGCAGTGCTTGGCCTGTTCCTCAGCCTGCATCTTGGTCCTCAAAGATGGCACATCCTCTGGGATACGGACGATTTTGTTGAATTTCTGTAAAGCAGAAAACAAATTATAACATTAGTGCTACACAGTTTAGACTTTGAAACGCTTTTACATACTGAAAGATGAATAAAAAAGGTTTTGTCCAAAATAGTAACGATGGAAGCTTTTGTTCGTTCTTCTCCATTCGAATCTACACTTTGAAACAAGCAGCCAGCTTAATTGACGAATTGACTGATAGACTATATTCTATTTTAACGTTTGAAAAGTACCTGCTTATGGTTTAGTTGGAATAAATTATTTTGAATTTGAGAAAACTAAGTAACAAGTAAGTTCCAAATCTTACCTCTTGCCAGGTACCAGGAGTGACGCGCCACAAGTAGACCATGTATCCAGGGATGCACAGCATAGAGGAGAGGGCGGTGAACCAACCGAACGCATGGGACCACCAGGGGTACTCATAGTTCATGTATTTAATAGGCTTCCATTGCACCAAGTTAAAGATGAAGACGCTCTGGAAAAGGAATATGATGTTCTGGTTAAACTTGAATGAAATTTTGATGATGGCTATGATAATTAAATAGTGTAATTGACTTCTGCCGTTGTATTTAAATACATAAATAATGGCGATGATGTAGTAATACTTATAAAGAAAATAAAGGATATTTGAACACGAAAGTAATTGCAATGTCACAAGATTGACACTGGTAATCTGATAATTTTAAATCCAGTAATTAAATCAAGCAAAATTTTAGAACTTATTCCAGCGGTGGTAGCATAAGAACTGCATGTACAAATTGGAAACTTAAATGCTGTTGATTATGAATATACATTTCAATAAATGAAAAGTAATAATGTGGCTATGGCAAGTAACTCGAGAAAAATCGAAACAGATACTCACGATGCAGATAGCAGGCGTAAATCCAACCCAGCAGAACTTCCACCAGATGGTAGGGTAGTAGCCAATCATCTCCTTGATGCCATCATAGAACCGGTTCACTCCAAACGCCCAGGATATGGAGACGCACTCGAAGAAGATCAGGAACAGCAGACAGAAACCGGAGACAGCGTACGAGTCGAGGATTTGGAAGACGTACATACCACCCTGGGAAACATTTTTTTTTAATTTGAGAGCAGCTCGCATTCAAATTTGATTTAACTGACAATTCTGGGCAGTATATCTGGGACACACGTACCTATACACGGTCGTATACACGACATACTATCCTGTCATATCATTCTCTTATTTGTTTCAAATATTTAAAATATACCTAATTTTATATCAAACTAATTTTTTTAATAAACTACGAAGGTCTATAAGTTTTTTGTCGTTTAATCTGTTTCATTGAATTGTAGTTCAAGCTGATCAGTGCTCAAAAACACAGAATTAATCCAAATTCTTATTTCTATCTACCAAAAAGAAGCAAAATAAACTCAGTTGCTAATAAAGTGTACGTGACAATATTAGACCTTAGTACCAACATTTTGTCTTTGACATGATCTTCAACCGCGACAAAATGAGGAATACATAACTATACTGTTCAAAGTGATACATTTGTATTCCGTAGAGCTCCAACAAAAGACGCCAAATGAATTCCAAATATAGTGGTACTCCTTTACAATGCTGTATTAAGAGATTTGCTACGGATTTGTAGACACGGTAACCTTGGAGACGGCCATGAAATAAAATTTCTGAGCTAATATCACGTATAACTAAATAAAAGTTGTTGCTATGTGCCCCAATGATTTATGGTATGTATTAAAGTTCCGTGGGTGGAATCCAAAAGGCAACTATGAAGAATTTAGACTGTAGACCTTATAGCGATCAATTAACGTCGGAAATGGCGTAAGAGATAAATATGGATGCGCAATAAATGTTTTCCATAAAGGGATAGGTTTGTTTTGACACCATTGACATGTGATGAATGAAAACATCGTTAGAAAACATGGACTTATAATTTCTAATTTGAAATCACCAATACGCCTTGAGCAAGCGAAATGATCAATGCTCAAATCCTGAGATCCTGTGATCTCCCTGTGAGAAAAGGCATTTGCTCAGCAATGAGCACTTATAGGCTGATGATGAAAGGGATAGGTAGTTTTAAGTAATAACATACACCGCTTAAAGCTCAATCTAAAAAAAAAACATTAATCATAACCCATTGTGTGTGTTTTCAGTAAACCAAGAGAACAGCATTTTTTGCATATCACAAAACATATTTAACCTTATTCCTTACCTCAGAGATACACGAAAGTCCAACCAAGTAGGAGATGACACAGGTGATGGCAATGAAGATCTCCTTTCGTCTCCTGAGGAGTTTGGGCCACTCGTCGATGACCGCAGTGATAAAACCTTCCATGGTGCAGAACTGACTGTCCAACCCAATAAGCAGTAACATGAAGAAGAAGAGACAGGACCAAAGTGGAGCTCCTGGTAGCTGGAGTACTGCTGATGGGTATGCCAAGAAGGCTAGACCAGGACCTGCAAGTGAGACGGTGTTAGTTGGAAACGATATTATTTGTTATAACAATGACAGACATTTTTGGAGATCTGATAGTCTATTTTTAATTTTAAGTTTTTCTGATCAAAAGCTAAGCCTCGTGATGAAACTTTGAAATTCTACTTATTTGTGTAGTTTATATTCAGATAACATACACATAACGGTCTTCTGCATGTGTGTGGAGCTAATAATTGTGCATTATCAAAAAGGTTTAAGGTGAAATGTAAGTTGCTAATGTCATTCTTATAATGATATTATGAATAGGTTTATGGTACAATCACATTGGTGAGTAAATCTCTAGCTTCTTGCATCTGGATTATCTCTGCATCACCCAAAGCTAGACTGGTAGAAAATGCTCATTGTACTAAATCCGCCTTATGTAAAATTTTGGTTGGGCATTAAGTTTAAAACAAATAAATAAATAGCAGGCATAAGTAATAAATACTAATGTTTAAAAATGAATTCTTTAATAATAAGTTTAAACATATAGAGATACCTGAAGCCGCCACCTCAGCGACAGGGCGTTGTTGCTCGTGCGCCATAAATCCGACCACAGAGAAGATTACAAATCCAGCAAACATAGAAGTACTCGAATTTACAGTACACACGATCAGGGCGTCTCTGGAAGAGGAAAAAATACAAATAGATATTATGTTTACTTCATTATTTGAAGGAACATATTTACGTTGGATGTGTCGGCGAAAGTCAGACTGAATTAGATCCCTTAATGGTAAACTATTGGCCTCGTCCATGGAAAGCCGTAATGCCAGCTGAATTGTTAGCTTTGCGAGGGTTAAGAATCGTCATTAACGGCTTTCCAGATAGAAATCTTTTTTTTTGTGGATTAAAACTCTTCATGAAAACAATTACACTTATCACCAATATCATTTTGCCACCTAAAAATAAGTATTGGTGTCGGTTTTAAAATTAGTCAAGACTAGTAATAAATGAGAAACGAAATTAGTAAGTATAAAAAATTCTCCAGATTAATGACGCAAGAACAACATTCAGTAGGTTCTTGGTGCATTTATCTTCTCGATCTCTCGTCTGTCTTAATTTAGGCACCTAATATTCGTTCGTTGTTTTTTAAGCAAAGGTTTATATTCTAGATTATTAGTGTCTCAATAAAATTTTATTTCATACTGCTTCTTTTTGGTTCTCCTTCCACCATAATTAAAGAATCCACAACACGACGTATATTGAAGTATTTTCGAGAAATAAACCCACAAAATGGACTCACTTGTACACGTTATTGGTGAACTTATTGTAGCTGCCCAGAGCGACCAGCGTACCCAGACCCAGACCGTAGGAGAAGAAGATTTGAGTGACAGCGTCGATCCATACTTCGGATTCCATCAGCTTGGACATGTTGGGCATTACATAGAACTTGATGCCTTGCATCGCTCCGGGTAAGGTGATTCCTGGGAGGAAGAAAATGGTGTGGTGTTGACAAAGACTTTACTTAAAGCATTTATGTTTTTTAATGCAACACAAAAGTTGATTAGGTAACTAATAGATAGGGACAAAATCTCTGAGTAATTCATCTGACAACTTGGATGTTAAAGAAACAGAAATAGAATAGGAGGTCATAATTTTCATTTCCGATTGTGAATTATAGGGCAATCAACTTTTAGAACTCAATTCTAAAAACGAAATGAATTCCTTATTGTTAATATAAAAGGTGATAAAATTAAATAAATCACTTAGCATTTTTAGCCTCCAGTAGACATGCGAAAATTAATAGCATAAAAAATATGTTTAAACACCTTACTAACTGGTACAAATCTGTTTTCTATAATTAATATACTAAACTGTTTTAAAGAACAAATCATTAAAGCCATCAAAAAAATTCAACTTGCTTATAAAACACTCACCTCTAATCAACAGCACGGTCAGCAAAAAGTAGGGGAACAGGGCGGTGAAGTAGACGACCTTGCCGGTCCACCTGACTCCCTTCCAGATGCAGAAGTAGCACAGCACCCACACCAGAAGCAGAGTTCCCGCCAACTCCCAACGGATGTTACCAATATGTTCGATACCGCTTGAGATTTGAAGAGCACGGCGCCTGAGGAAATTTTTTTTAGGTTATTTTACGTGTTAGTGTGTTTTTGTGATTTTGTGATTTTGTAATTGGACAGGGTCTTAGAAAACATTAACATAGAAGGTAGGCCATGATTATTGTTTTTTTTATGGTATAAGTCGGCAAACGAGCAGACGGATTACCTGATGATAAGCAATCGGCGCCGCCCATGGACACCCGCAACACCAAAGGAGTGCGGTTGGGGATAGGGGTTGGGGATATAATAGGGGAAGGGGAGGGATTGGGCTTCCGGTAACCTCATAAAATAAATAATCTATATATAATGGTAAATTCATAAAAAACAATCTTTTTTTGTTATACATAACTCGTACACTACTTGGGTAGTTTTCTACGACAAAAATTATTTAATTCGATGATTAATTCGACGTTTCAATGCAATAGACAATTGAAAACTCAATATACTTTTATTCATCGATCGATTAAAAGACTACATTTTAGATATGTTTTTGCATTTTTTAAGAAGTAAGTACGCTAAATGACACAAAAACACTATGACTATGCCGTCAAAGTGTTTTTTTGACTCAATATTCAATATTCATATTAATTTCACAGAAAAGTATAGTTTTTGACGTTTGGATAAAAGTATTGAATTTGACTAAGTAGTTGGAAACTACCGTATTGTACGCATTTCTCGCTTTTCAATTCTAACTCTAACTGAACACTAACGCCATCCAAAGAGTAAACTAAGAAGTTAAATGTTAAGATGCATTGCAATGCATAAGTACTTAATATTGTCGGTATTTTTTTTTAAATAAAATTTTGTACCGATTAAACGTTACCAGCGTCAACATTTATTGGATTTCTCGTCGTCACATCAAAATAAGCGGTAAAGCCAGTTCATATATTTACATGACTGTCCAAAACACAATATGTACGCCCCTTCCATCGACCTAGTCCCTTGTTATTGATTGTAAAATCTACAAAAGGAATCAAATTTTACTGACTTGTGTTGTCTTTTCTTGACTATGAATATACTAAGTAAGAATCTGTTATGCGTTTTTGGGTTGTTTCTTAGGGCAAAAATAAATTAATTCGACATTTCAATGCAATAAAATATTGAAAAATAACTATACTTTTATTCATTTGTATGTCGATACACTATATTTTCGATATTTTTAGCAATTTTTAAAGGACTTAGTAAGCTATTTGACTCATAAATATTATAACCTTATAATTTGGAGATTCATACAAATTCCATAGAAAAGTATCGTTTTTGAAATAGTAAATATGACGAATTTGACTAGTACCGTATTTTAATGGTTCAAAAAAGTGCTTCTAAATTCCTTACTTCTTTGCATAACTTATCTGTTAGATAGGTCTTCTACTTACTCCCAGAACTCCTTAACAGGATCCGAGAGCACAGCCTTGCTGATATTCTTGCCGTTCAGTGTGCAGAAGGTGGTCATATCCATGGTGGACCAGCAGGTCAAGTTCTTGCGGTCGTAGGGGTTCACGCAGGTTGCCGTGTTCCAGTAGTTGTCGCAAGTACGCCATGGTACATCTGCGGAAACCAAAAACAGACCATAAAATAGCACTTTTCGACTTCAAAATTTTATATTAAAACACTAGATGATGCCAACATTTCCTATCTGACTACTCTAAGAAGAAATGCCGAAACAAACTCAGAAACAGATTCTACTTTATGGGATTATCGATTTCTAAGGTCCAAAATAGAAAATCTACCTAATGCTTTTAGCTCTACTCGTACTGGAACTTGGAGGTTTAATCCTTCCCCTCTCTATCCAGCAATCCTAATCCATATCAACCGACAAAACTCTGGCAATGGCACTGGTAAACTTCTAGTTAGTGTTGCAGGTATCCTCGGGCGGGTCCGGTTCATTATGATCTGTATGACGATTTGCGATTTTTCTCTTAAAAAAATTATCAAAGACTCGACTCGACTAGACTCTTTTCACTAAGCTGATGCACTGTACTTTTAATTGAAAAAAAACTTTTACATGGAAAGGAATGCTAAAACTGGCAAACATACCAGATCGCATGGACATGAAGAAGTAGAAGATAGCCCAGGCGAGGATCACGATGTAGTAGACGTTCATCCAGCAGGACATCACGGCAGCCGCGTAGCCGATACCTGGAATAGACACAGCACGTTAGTGCAAATTCTTCTAGCAAAAAAACGTGCCTCGAAAAGAATCAAATTTTTATTGCTCTTTGAGAAAACCAAAGTACATGTTATGGAAAGAGGTTTGAATCATCATTTATCAAATATTTATGTCTGCCGTTGATCAAAATCATTGTAAATAAGTAATTGTATCTCTTTTTGTGCCTTAACTTTTGAAGTAATGTTTTTAAAATAATAATTTATTGCCTTGTTTGCCTTGTGACACTTTATGTTTTGGAAGAGCGGAGTGTCCTAACACATGCATTACCGGCCTAAATAAAAGCGACGATTTAAGGCAAAGAAGTGCTTTAAACTACCAAAGCTAAAAGTCAAGTAAAACCATTCCACCAATCTTTATAAAAATAAATCGCAAAATCTGTAAATGCGCATAAGTCAACAACGCTTGGGCCCATTTTGATGATGCTTTTTTTTCTTTTTGTCACAGTCAAAAAGAAAATTTTGAAACGTAGAGGAGTAAATTGGGAAGTTTTTTCCCATTCGTTGTTAGCGAGACAGTTGAATAACCGTGCGCTAGTAACTTATAAACGTTTTATATTTATATATAAGACGTCAATAAAGAAAATTACTATGTAACAGCAATCCCATTAATTAAAGAATAAAAAGAAATAATTGAAAACAAAAGACTCGGCTCAAGTATTGTTTGAAAAACAAAAGAAATGCGACCCTTTCCATTAATAGCAATGATTAGCCCAATTGTGTTGGACTGTTTTGTCGCGAACCTCGTTACTGGGTCGAAATATTTCGAGAGATTTTTGGATTTATCGTAACCTATTAGAAGGATTATAATTGTCGGGAATTCTGTGACAGTAAAGTATTGTAATTTGACTAAAATATTTGTCTAATGACATTATTGTAGTAGAAAATATAATAAAAAAAATATACGTTATTGTGTAGTACTAGGTCAATAATAAATAATTTTACCTTTTCAGCAGAATAAGATTATAAAATATAATTATACTTTTATTCATTGATTTGATAATAATTAATTAAAATTTAGGATTTCTTACAGAAATTAGTATGTAGGTAGGTATGTTATTTGACGTAAAAGATGCTGACGTCATTACGTTGCGATCTCATACAAAATTAATAGTAAAGTATCGTCAATAATTTTAACTAAAGTCAAAGTCAAATTCAAATCAAATTTCTTAACAACGGAACAAAGCAAGTACTTATACTTAAGCCTATTCAATAGTACTGTCTTTTAGAAGCAAAATGAATTACAGTTCAGATAAAGTACAGACGAACAACTATATGCCTCTTACCTTTGAAGATCGGAGCAATTTTGAAGACACCCAAACCGCCGATAGTAAGCATCTGCCCCATGGCGAGCTCCATGAAGAACATTGGAATACCAGCGAGGAACAAGGTAAGGAAGTAAGGGATAAGGAACGCGCCACCGCCATTTTTGTAGCAAAGGTACGGGAATCTCCAAACGTTGCCAAGACCAATGGCCAAGCCAATGACGGAGAGGATGAAGTCTAGCTTGCTGCCCCAAGAACCTCTTTCGGGAAGATCGGATTTGGTTGAGACTTCACTGTAACAATTAGAAATTGAGTATTAGGAGGTGTATGTAAGTGTATAGGTATAATTAGTTATACAAAAGAAAAATATACAATTATAACAATCACTACATATCTAAGTGTGGGAGAGCCATGCTTTGGCACAAATGTGTCGGCTCAACCGGAGTGATACCACGGCCTCGCAGAAAATCGGCGTGAAACAACCACAGTGTTGTGTTTAGCCGTGTGAGTGAGGTTACCGGAGGCCCAATCTTTTCCCTCCCCCAATCCCTTCTCAATCCCTGAGTCTCCAAATCCAGGTCGGCAAACGCACTCGTAACTCCTCCGTTGCGGGTGTCTATGGGCGGCGCTGATCGCTTACCATCAGGTTATACGACTGCTCGTTTGCAGACCTATTATATAAAAAAAATGAAACTGAGTCGTTTTTCTGTCCTTGTATATCCTAATCCCATTTTATGAATGCTTAAATCTTCAAAACAACGCAACGGATTTCGATGCAGTTTTTTTTAATAGATAGAGTGATTAAAGAGAAATATATGAACATTGTTTTATAAGATCATGAAAAACATGAGTCGATAAGGAGTGACAACATATTAAAAGAGAAATTAGGATATCGGGAATTTTCTTAATAACACATTTAAGTACATGAAACTTCTTACAAAGACAATTTACATGAGGTAAATCCTTTTACAAGGATTTCAAACTATAATTATTATTATTACTTAGTGTCAATGTCATATTTAAGGACAGGAATTGACATAATTCTGTTTTTTGGAGGAAGTTCTCGTCAAACGACCTTAGCACGCGAGCTCTCAATTACATATGGGATTCACAAAAGACATAAATTTTCCATTGACATGGACGACAGGAAAAATTCTATTCATAGAATGATTATGGTCATTAGTCAAGATATTTTGAGGGCATCTTTACAAAAGTAGATTAGTAGGTAGGTCAATATTCGATACAAGTATTATTCTGAATAGAAAAGTAACTTTACTAAATCACTACTTAGGATAAAATAAAGTCACTTTTTCTGTCCCTATATCCGTGTGTACGCTTAAATCTTTAAAACTGCGAAACGGATTTTGATGCGGTTTTATAATAGATAGAGTGATTGAAGAGGAGAGGTTTACATGTATATAATAATATCTATTTAATAGTGGAGAAATTTAGTATCATTTTTGCACTCGTGTGAAGCCAAGACGGGTCGCTAGCTATAGTATAATATCCATAAAGGTGGTCCAAAAGGAACCAAATATGCTTGTGACGTTAACAGTACTTACCCAACTTTATTACTTGATCCTTGTGCACTAAGTTCAATTTCATCTGCGCGTACGTCGTTTTTCGTATCCATTTCTGTTAAATTATCTTCTCTCTCTTTCTAATCGAAATGTTGCCGTATCCCTTTGTCTCTTTCCCACACTATATCTATGTTTTAGGGAAACTGTATTAACATTTTCGTTGAAGTACGTAGACTAGATTCGAAATGCTGGTAGTTTTGTACCTGGAACAAGAGAATTGGATTGTAAACGTTATGTGAGGTCTAATAAAGTTGTTTTTGAGTCAACACGTTTTTAGATCCTCAAAGAAGTAAGTAAAGATTCAAAATTCAATGTAGCATCTAAACTAATATTATAAATGTGAAAGTAACTCTGTGTATCTGTCTGTCTTTTCTTCACGCCTAAACTACTGAACCTATTTATGTGCAATTTGGTAGACATAGTTTGAAACTCGATTAAGGACATAAGATAGTTTTTCAACCAAAAATCTGCAGAAGGTCACTATTCCACGCGAACGGAAACGCGGACAAATTATAGTATATGTAATACATTTTGAGCCTATATCCATACACAAAGGGGAGGGGAACCTCCCCATCCTTGCATTCCTAAAACCCCTTATCCCCATAATGCCGGCACCCCATTAGCAACTCTTTTAAATGTTGCTGGAGTCAATGAGCGACGCTGATTGCTTACCATCAGCTAATCAATCAGCTCGTTTGCCCGACATAAATAAAAAAGTCATAATTCTAGATTCCATGTTCATTTACTATAATTGGAAAATCCTCTAAGATAATAATGACTAATTTGCACGAATCAGGTGTCAAAACGTAACCGTGGCACCGCGACCTCGGCCCAGAGCAGGAGAAGGAACAGGGGGGTTTTTAGTCAGTAAGAGGCTGATACTCCCTATTTTCCCCAGAGGGAAAATTCATCAAGAAGTCATTTGATGAATTTCCCCAATGAGACAAATAAATTGAATTGTCAACTAACCAAACATACATATGTACATTATAATAACTACAAACAGACGCCAACGCTTTCTATAAACATAACGAAGAAAATACAAAATTCATTCCCCACCCCTAAATCCAACCTCCTTTATAAATCTCGATGTAAAAAATATGAATATACATACAAACCAACTATGTTTTGTGTATTTTATTTGCCAAAGAAAATTGGATTGGGAATTGGCGTATTGGTAACAATATATATACAAATGTTTGCCATGTGAAATGGAAAAGAAAGGGCGAATCGTGTATAATATTTATGTAGGTAGGTTACTTTCTTTCAAGTGATAGGTCGACAAACGAGCAGACGGATTACCTAATGGTAAGCAATCAGCGCCGCCCATGTACACCCGCAACGCCAAAGGAGTTACGAGTGCGTTGCCGGCCTTTTGGGGATAGGGGTTGCGGATATAAGGATCGGGAAGGGATAGGGAAAGGGAAGGGATTGGGCCTCCGGTAACCTCACTCACACGGCGAAACAACACTGTGGGTTGTTTCACGCCAGTTTTCTGTGAGGCCGTGGTATCACTCCGGTCGAGCCGACCCTTTCGTGCCGAAGCATGGCTCTTCCACACTAAATGCTTTCTTTGGAAGGAAATTGAGTAAATTATCGAGTAACTTAACTTGTTACTAAAAAGCTATAAAATATTTCAAAATAAAAGACTGAAAATAAATTTTAATTATGGTAACCAAGTATGGTAATATGATAAATGCGAAAATATGTAACAGCTTTGCCTACACTCCAAAAACTCTATCAATCTTCATCAAACAGACATACATTATACTTATAGGTATGTAGCTATTGACTGCACGCGGCTTCAATTCCAGGAACAATTCATTGTTAATCGGTTTTGATGTGTATGTGCAATTATATGTTTGTATATGCTCCTAAGACACAGGAAAAATAACAGTTTTCCGATTTGGAAAAAGTTATTATAAAATAGTATAATTGCTAAATGGTGCTAATACAGTCCTTGGACGGCTTCGAGTACGGACGTTAAAAAACATTATTTATTTCGGGTAATTTTTTTCATTCTATTACAAATTTCTTCTCTTTCCAAGCATAGGTCCTATAGGTATACTTAATAAAAACATATACCTATTAATAAACATAATAACCTAACTTTATTACATTTATTATTTGTTATTTTTTTATTGGTTAAATTGGAAATGTCAAAAACGTACACGTGTATTATTAGAAAAGCACACACACATTATATTAGAAAAGTCGCACCAAATGTGTAATTTTGTATGTAGGGGAGAAATCTTTGAAACTGCTGGTCAGATTTCCAAAATTCTTTCACTGATAAATAGCTACTATAATGTCCCTGAGTGCTATAGGCTATAAATTTTCATCATCATCATCAGCCTATAAGTTCCCACTGCTGAGCAAAGGCCTCTTCTCACACGGTTTGAGCATTAATCACCACGCTTGCTTAATGCGGGTTCGCGATTTCAAACTTATAATTAGAAATTGTAAGTCCAGGTTTCCTCACGATGTTTACCTTCACCGTATGTCAGTGGTGTCTAAATAACCATAGAAAGTACATATAACTTGTAAAAAGTCACTTTGTTACTTGCCAGGTTTCGAACCTCATGAGAAGCGGGCGCCTTAATCTCGGGACCACCATGACACTAGACACGGCTATAAATTATACTAAAATTGATTTGCGTATTTTCATGGAGCTATCGCTCTAAACGCTACTGTTTTTAAATACATTACTTTTTATACGCGTGCTAAGCCACGGCCGAGATCTAGTATTATAATATTAAAGGACACAATTTTCTATCTAGTAAGTACACACTAACAAAAAAAAATGTTTCCGTATGTTGACATACGCCCATCGATAACATGTAACCAGTCTCCCAACACTTCATTTGATCCCCTCTCCATATAATAACCGTGCTATTTACCGGACCCCGGGTAACTGACCAACCTATTGGCCTGATAGGATAACTACAGGCCTATTTGCAACGATCCATTTATTACAGTATTGACTTATTCAATAGAACTCGCCTGTGAATATCTTTTGTGACCTTAAATACCTTTTTGTTGATGCAATTTTGCATCTGTGTGAATTTTTCTAAAAGGATATTGGCAATTTGAAGTTTTATGACGTAATTTTTGGATTGATGGTTGATATGACCATCTTCAGCCTATAAGAGCCCACTGCTGAGCAATGACTTCTCCACTCACGAAAAAGGTTTGAGCATTATTAATCACCACGCTTGTTCAAGGCGGATTGGTGATTTTAAACTTACAATTAGAAATAATAAGTCCAGGTTTCCTCACTATGTTTTCCTTCACTGTTTGGCAGTGGTGTCTCCATAATCATAGAAAGTGACTACATATAACTCAGAAAAAGTCACATTGGTACTTGCCAGATTTGGAAAATTCCGGGCCACCACCACATTGGAGGATTAAAATGTCATAAATAAATGAATAAAAATGAATGAAAATTCTTTGATTATACGCGATGTAATCTCAAAAGTACAACAAATTAAAAAGAACAATATTATTTATAAGTGCGCACGTAGATATATATACTTTTTTATTTTACATTATGAATAAAGTGGTCACCTATGTTTCGTCTATTAAATTTTTCTCTACGCGCAAAACGATAACCATATTAATATTTTTTACATCCATTTTACGGACAGAAAACTATCTTCAAAAATTATTACATCATTACAATAAAAGAAACCACAAACAAAAACACCCTATAAAAAAACAAAAGCAAGTCACAAAGCTTAAGGAAACACGTAGACTACACAGGGTGTGGTATTAAACCATTTTGGTTTTAGTGATTAAATGGATTTTTCTAGTAACACAGTTTTTCAATAAACACATGTTCTTTCTTTCTTTAACACGAAGCCTGAACCTTGCATACACACAAACATATGTACATACATACATTTAAATATTTAAACCGCTACACAGATGAGACAATTCCCATGGAACAAACATTTGTAATTAATTCGTCAAAAACATTCGTGGTTTTGTATACACAGAAGTTTTAATGGCACTCTCCCTTCTGAGGTTTTTGGGACCTAAAATAGGATTGCTTTTTATTTTGTTTTTGTTATAAACTCAAAAATAAATAAATAATAGCGTGTTCATTTTTTAAGTGTCATTCGTGAGTGCAACATAATACCTTTGAAATGGGTTTTATTTTTATTTTTCTGCGACAAAATTTGACTAGATACGAAACTTTTTACAAAAGTAAATGGTTGTATGTGTATCTATGTATTTTTTTAACCCTATGCAGTCGTATCACGAAAAGGAAATAGAAGAAAATTGTAACACGCTGTAGCTAAATAACCTACCTACTTAATCGTATGTAGGCAACAACCTCATAACTTCACACGAACCTTACCTACTTGCTACCTCAAAACCTTAATCAATACTGTCAATATGACCCAGTTTCGAACTCCCGAACACTTTGACAACTTACTCTGTGACACCTACCTTGCCTAAGTTATGTTGGAATATCGATAAACAATTAATTATTTACTTTTAATTAATACTTAAGTCCTTTAAGCCATGGAAAATGTTGATTGGATCTTGTGTATGTTATTGTACTTATTAACTTTTCTGATATCTTTTCGTAACTTTTAGGTATGTGTAGGTATTTTTTATAGGCCAACTTCAGTTTGAAGATTTTTTTTATTATTACTTAATTTCAAATCACAGCTTGATACCTACTTAGAATGATAAGGTACCTACATATTTTTATTTAAAAATTTGTCTACGAGTCTATCCATCGTAAAATTGGTGTTTAAATTTTAATTGCAGAAATCTTTCATAATCATTATTGTTCAGAACAAATCTGCCACTATATTTTCGTCGCAATAGTTTTTTTTTTTCACTATTACACTATAAATGTTTGTACATAAAATACTAATAATACTTTAGGTAATGCGCTTTCCAAAACTCAAAATTCTAACAATAATCCACTAAAAACGAACTCAAACAAAAAAAACTTTAAAAAACTATAAAAAAAGAGCACATAACTACAAAAAAGGCACAAGCAATACTTACACATACACAAGCACAACACTTCAAAACACACACACATCACACGTCAAATAGTACAAAATGGAGCCGAAAATACAAAATGGTGGCACGTTGTGTCTCCACACATGCTGAGCTGAATATGCCGAGTAGACTTCCAATGTCCCCTAATAC